CCTCCAGATTCTTCGACTGCGCAGTCTCCAGAACCTTCAACTACAGTTTCTCCTCCAGATTCTTCGTCTGCGCAGTCTCCAGAACCTTCAACTACAGTTTCTCCTCCAGATTCTTCGACTGCGCAGTCTCCAGAACCTTCAACTACAGTTTCTCCTCCTGAATCCTCGACCGCGCAGTCTCCAGAGCCTTCAACCACAGTTTCTCCTCCTGAATCCTCGACCACGCAGTCTCCAGAGCCTTCAACCACAGTTTCACCCCCTGAGTCTTCCAATGCGCAGTCTCCAGAACCTTCAACTACAGTTTCTCCCCCTGAATCCTCGACCGCGCAGTCTCCAGAACCTTCAACCACAGTTTCACCTCCAGATTCTTCAACTGAAAAATCTCCAGAGCCTTCAACATCAACAACAGTTTCACACCCCGATTCTTCGACAGCACAGTCTTCCGTGTCCACGCCGGATCCTGACCTTTCTACAGAATCGAGCTCAGAACCAACAAGTACAGGGGTGCCAGAATTCAATGCCGATGCATACTGTTTGAGTCTCAACAAAGAAGGATATTTTAGGGTCCAGAGTGATCCCACCTGCAAAGAGTAAGATGCATGTCACTTGGTGCATATTGCTCACTGTATTTATTTATTTACGTCTTACAGTTATGTGAACTGCTACAAATTGTCGGGAGATACCCTGGGTTGGCTCTTTCATTGCAACACTAACGAATATTTTAACTCGGAGACAAGTCAGTGTGAAACTGAGCGACCTGCCGATTGCTGACCAACTGAATTTCATTTAACTTTCGCAAGCATGAGTAGAACATGTTAAAAAAAAAAAAAAAGACAAAATATAATATTGTATAAATATGTATGTATTTGATTTTTATATTTCGAAATATTCACACGAAACATTCTTCAACTAAAATTTACTAGTGTTAATAAGGATTCATTTATATTGCTGACATGTTTGTATTCTTTTATAAGTACGTTTCGTATTATTATTAATATTATATATTTATATATATGATCTAAACAAGCAGAATTTCTCTTTTATTTGTGTATTTATTTATATAAATGCTCAAAAAGAATATGTTGATAACAAACCCTCAAATATATGTAAATAATATAGTATACATATTTCATAATTTTGATATGCAGGTAATTTGCTTAAGTGCAAAAGTCTGGTTTAGGAGACGTACAGAACTTGCCGTTAAACCACGTCCCTGATGTACACTCTCGTTCACGACCCATCCAGACTCCATTGATAAGCGCGCACTGGATATATCTATAAGAAATATATAACATATATAAATTCAATATATCGCTAAAAATAGTTCACTTTACGTAGCACATGTGGGGTCCGATTCATTTGTCAATTGGCTAGTTTTTTGGATATCTTGACAGAGAGTGTCTGGATCCTGAGGGGTTTTATTAGGAACACAATTCGCCTCGTCAGTCGATTTCGGATAGCATATATATTTACCGCCAGTGCAATGATAGTCTTTGGGACATTCTATATAATCCTTAGATGGAACGCCTAAACAATGAGTATACTATTAATTGATGTATATGTAGATAATATATCTATATATGTATATCTATGCATACCATTTATGCAAATCGAAAATGTGGTTTCACTATGGCATGCAGCTCGAACCTCAGTCTGGCAGACATCACACTGAGCTAGCAAATTCTTGGGCAGTGCTAAGGAAACTACAAGAAAAGCTGTCTAAAAATGATATAGAAGTTATTAGTAAATCCTGTGTTTCAGATACACCGTTTAACAATACTAACGATCGTTGACAACTGAAACATTTTCGGAGCATGTGCAGTTGAGCACCAAATTTGTAAAACTGGCCAAAATTGATGGAACGCTTGATTTATATGCTCATCTATAAGCATAGATAAGTAGAATTACCTTGGGTTAGATAACATAAAGAAATTCTTGACTGCAGTAAACCTTGACAGAATCATAAACCAAAGGGGATGAGAAATATTTTATTTAATCTGAGATAAACCAAATTCGTAGAAAAAACAATCTTTATTGGCATATTTTTTTGTTTTATTAAAAGCGAGATTGACAAAATTATGTACAGAAATCTGGTTTCGCGGTATCGCAGGCAGTTCCATTGAAATAGGGTTTTTTGTTTGAGCACGTTTTTAAGAGTCCTATTAGTCGACCAGTCGAGCCATTTTCGTAACAATAAATAAATCTAAAAGAAAATACATTACAGATTTCATTTCTGCGTTTATGCTGCTACTCACGTTTTGCAGGTGGGATCATCCTTGTTTTCATAGTTGTCTGGCTTTCCGATAGCATTGCAATATGCATTCAGATCGACTACAGGCTTACAAATGGGATCATTGTGGCTTTCCGCATAACATATATATTTTCCATCCGTACAAACGTAATTGGTTGGACAAGTAATAATATTTTTTGATGCCTTGCCTATTAGCAGAACGGTTTTTGTGAGCCATTCGAAAAATAGTTATGCATAATTACCGTTGATGCAGATCGAATAAGTATTCTGGGAATGACAGGCGGCCCTGTTTGTCTGACAAACATCGCACTGACCATTCAGATATTGCACCAATACCTATTGAGAAATGAGTTATATATAATTATCTTTCTTTAAATTGGTTTAGTTAGCAGCTCTAGTTACCAGTGATACAAGTATTCGTAGCCACATCTTGTTTTTATCCCTCACAATTCACAATTCTAACTGAATTATTCATTGCAAAATTTAGGTACTTTATAAGCATTTTTTATCGCTGATAATGTTATATCATATCTCTGGTAGGTTTATGAACTATATACGTCAGCTTTTTATTTAGCTTCTTTTAATATTAGATCTATCATTCATAAAAATAACAGATTTATTGGAGTAAAAAATAACTCTGGGAGCACATCAGATGAAACTATAAATAATAATCAGATTTCAAACAGGGTCTTCATTGGCTTCTTCTATGTTGAAGTATATAACTGGGCATACAATAATTCTAATCTGATTCCGCAGAGTATATATCTATAAAGGATATATTTTTAATAGTATTTGATTATTGCAATGATTAATGCTTATTTGAAGTTACCATAGTTGGGAAAAGCCTTCATCCGTAACTGCGATCGCACCTCTACCAAGTGGAATTTTAAACTAAAATGCTGGGCAGAAAAAAAATCGTAACTTATCGTACAGAAACTCGAAAGCATTTTATTTATGGTATAACCTTATGCTTGTGGTTTATTGCGTATTTAGGTAATTGTCAATAAATTAAAGAATTATAACGTTTACTTTGTGTTTAGTTATTACCGCTTAAACATTACTTTTAGTCTTACAAAAATATATATATAATTGTATTCACAAATTGAAGGCGCATTCGTTAGCTATTAGCTGTATAGTATACAAAATGTGTAGGAATATATTAGAGTGTTTTAGTTTTTAATGTATGAAATGCATAATAAATACAATGATAGTTCATCTTGCGGACGTAATATGGACATACATTTCGGTATTGGTATACACGTACATATAAGTACATAGATAAATGTGTATGTGTGTATAATTTATGCTAAAAGATAGTTTTGAATTCGCACAGTTGCCGTTTAGTCTTCGTATATATATACGTATAAATTGTATAACTATTATCTAAACTATGTCTAAATGTAAAACACAACATATATATAATTATAGATGCTACGTATTAAATTGCAGACCTGTTTGTATGTAGCTTAAGGCAAATCATAGCATTATAAGAAGCACTTAGTAAATTTCTCTTCTGTTAAGCTAAGGCATAAATTCGTTACTTTCTAAAACGAAATAATACTTCGTCGTCAGCAAATGCAGTTTGTTTTTGTTTATCTGTATGTTTCATTGTGTGTTTCTATTCGAGAAGCTCTAAACGCAGCCGTATTCATACCAGATGCTATTGCTTTTATCTTCGTTTCTTTTGCGCAGTGTTTTATCGTCCTGGTTGGTGCTGCCGGCAACGCTGCCGCCGCTGCCCGAGGCCTGTAAGAGTGGGCTCTGGTCGTTGGTGGTGCCAATGGTTGTATTGATGCGATTGTACATGAGAAACGTGGCTGGCTGATTGTCGCTCTTTAGTGGTGTTTGCGGCTCAGCTCCAGTGGTGGCAGCAGCCGCTGAAGTAGCATTGTTGCTTGGCGTTGAACTTGCCTGTGGCTGTTGAGCCGCGGCGCTGGAGCCATCAGGCAGCTTCTCGTCGATCAAATAAACGGTGCGTCGCGAGCCAGCAGTGCCCAGAGTTAAGCTGCTGCCGGTTACGTCTGGCGGTTCGAGTCTGCTGAAAGCAAAATTGAATTAGTAACCAGTAATACCCATCGAATTGTAAAGTAAAAGAGGAGGTATCCACAAAACACAAACAAATATTGGCATACATTTAAGGAATTGGGAAGGTGGGATATTGATTTTTAACTGGGAATTTTTTTATTGGGAATTTCTTGTATGTTAAACATTTAAAAGCGCATACCCGTGCACGCTATTTCTACGTGAATTACTCAAATCCGTACGTTTCTGTGCTTGCAGGCTACTTCGCACAGTGCCACCGCGTTGTATGGAGCTATCCAGCAAATCCCTATAGAGTACATGTACAATACATACATAAACAGTGTGTGCGAGTGTGCGTGCAAAGTTGATGATATTGTTGATGTTGTTGTTGTGTATATACATGTAAATAGAACAAGAACCATAAGCCAAAACTAAATACATCATTTAAACATTAAAGCAAATGTATTCCGACAGCCAAAACTGATATAAGATTATCTTCCATTTTGCAATTATTTGGTAAAGTATAGCACATATAATTTAGTACTATCCCTACTCTAGCAAATTTAAATGAATTTCTTCCACAGTATATAGCATTAGCCTTTAGTCCGAATAATATTTGACTTACCGCTGCAGGCTCTGTCGCAATGGCATGTTACGCTGTAACAGATGCGTATCGGATGCAATGGATAGTGGCTCCTCGTTGCTATTATCCGATTCATTGCCCCCCGATTCAGAGCCAATGACAAACTGTGAATTGGTGCGAGCATCATCAACCCACGAACGGCGATTCTGAAATAAATCAAGATTTAGTTAACCGCTTAAGCTATGCAAAGCATTAGTCTTACCCGACTTGGCACCTTGTTCATCAAATCGGAGCTGGCCTTCTTTACACGCCTAACGAGGCTGCTGGCAAAAGGTTTTCTGTGGAATATTTTGATTTAGCAATGCTCCGCTTAGATTTACTATATCGTGACATACTTCTTTTGCACTGTGGTCTCCGATTTCTTATAGTGCTCCATTATCTTCTCCTCCAGTTTTTCCTTTTGACGCTTTAGGCTGTGCACTCGTTCTGTGTAGTTCTTTTCCTCTTCGTGAAAGTGCTTCTTGTCCTCCAATGAAATGGCCAGCAATTCTTGGTATTGTGACAGCAGCTGTGACACATTGTCCATTAAGGCCTTGCGCTCCGAGTCCAAGTCCGCATTGTTTTGTATTAGCATCTGGTAGATGGAAAGCATTGATCAGTCGAATGTTAAATGGGATAAGCAAAAAAAACAACTCACCTCGCAACGCTGCTGGACCTTTGAGTATTCGATCTGGAGGAGACGTACCTGATCCTGTTTGGCATTCAGCTCACCAGTCAGCTCTGTATTTTGTAATTTAAGAGTACTGTGCTCCACGCGAATCATTTTGTATTGTTCCTGAATATTCTTGTACTCGTTCTTGAATCGATCGCTAGTGGCGAAGAGATTGCGGAAGTCATCAGTCAGCTTGGAGTGCTCAGTGCGCAGAATGGCAAGATCTTCGTGGCAGGATTTCATGCTATTGGTCTGTGCGACCAGTTCCTCGATGCGCTGCTCCTGCGATTGGATAGTCTCGCGTGCATCACGCGTCTCTTGGCGTAGATCACGCACAGCCGCCTTTAACTGTTCCTTGTCCTTGTTGAGCGATTCATATTCAGCAGAGAGTTGATCGTGCAGGCACTGCAATGTCACCTGATCTTGAAGCGCGTGCTTATGCTCCTGCCGCAGCGCATCGATTTCCTTCAACAGCGTATCCTTTTCGGCGGCCAGCTGAGAATTGGCCAATTGCAGTGCCACATGCTGAGTATTGAGCGAAGTAATTTGGGAGCTTAATGCTGCCACATCTACACTTAATCGCGCATTCTCCGTTTGTAACTGAGTATTACTGTCCTGTAGACGTGCTAATTCAGCCGAGTCACGAGACGGCCTAAGATGCAGTTTGTGCTCGAAGCGCAACTCCTGCGCTGTGGGCACCTTTGGCGTTGCTGACAGTTCGATATTTTTCTCCACTGTAAAGATTTCCTGGCGATGACATAGTACACACATGTCCGACTTGACGCCCGCCTCTTGCTGTTGCTCACGATTGACATTCAGCATAATTTCACGCACAGTCTTAAAGGTTTCTGGATTGCGCACCAGCTTCTCCACAACATGCTCTACATTTAGATCAGACGGTTCACCGTCGACCTCGTTGACATCCAGTCCTAGTTTTTCCAGATTGTGGCGCACCTTCTTGGTAACTAGCGTTCCATTAACCAGATCGTTGCGTAGCGTGCTTATCATTTCTTGATCAATGTTGCGCTGCGAGCACAGCTCTTGATTCTGTTTTTCCAGTTCGACAAGCTTTTGCTGCACTAGCTCCGCCTCCTCCTGTACTTTGGCGAGCCTCATTATATCTTTGGCTTGGGTGTCCAGCCTGTTGATGCTCTCGTCCAGTTGTACAGACTTTTGTTCACTGCTCTCCTTCAGTTTTGTCACCTCTTTCAGCAAGCTGGCATTCTCGCGCTCGTACGTACATACCTTCGCCTCAATCTCGTAAAGCTTCTGTTTGGTCTGCTCGAACTGCTGGGTTTTCTCAATATACTGTTCCAGTTCCTTGGTTTTGGCTTCTGCGAGGCGTTCCAAATCATCGGCTCGACGCTGAATGCTCTCATTGAGAGTTTGAATGCGCTGCTTCTCTTTATTTAGTGTTTCTACGTACTGTTCGGCATCCGCGAGTTTCTGACGATCTGCCTCGCGCTCTAGACTCTGGCGATCGTAGCTCTTTTGACGACTATCGACGGCATCCTGCAGCTTTTTGTTCTCTTCCAATGCGTTCTTAAACACACTCTCCAATTCCACATTCTGTTGCGTCAATCTTTGTATGTTCTCTTGCATCTGTTCAATTTTCAACGACAACTTCTTCTTCTCTTTTTCAAGCTCTAGCATTTTGCTGGTTGATTCATGGAAGCTGTTCTCTTTCAACTGCTCCAAAGCAGCAGTCAGTCGACGATTCTCAAGTTCTAGCTTAAGAGCACGTGTTTGTGCATTGTTCGTAAGTTGCTCGGACAAACTATTGTCACCTGAATTGCACTCGTCCTCATTGTCGGAGAATGATTTGTCGACTTCCTGAGTGCAGTTGAGATTCTTTGCTACTAGCTGCAGTTGAGCATTCTCTTCGAGAAGCTCTTCTAGTTTGGCTCGATCCACATCACGCTCGAGCGCCATGTCATTCAATTTCTGCTTGTACTTGATGATTTCCGACTCCAAGGTTATGGCATGTTCCGAACGTTTGCGTGAACGTTGTAGTTGCTCCTCCAGCATTTCTCTGTGAAGTTGATTCATATGTAAGTAAACTTAATTCATTTCATGTATTGTGCTGCATATACTTAGATTCAAGCAGTACGCGATTATCCTCGCGCAGCTCTTCCACGCGCGACTTGTAAAAGTCTGAATCCCCAAGCTTTTCGCGATATTTCTGCACCTCAATCTCTAGACGATCGGCACGTTCCGCACGCTCTCGCAATATATCCACCTCATCCCGATAGGCAGAGGCGCGTTTTGCCTCAGTAAACCATTCTTGGCTCTGTAATAGAAATAATTGGCATATTAGTTACTTTATACTTAAGCAATTTACAGGAACTTACTTCCTGGCGCAGCTTATCAAAACGCTGCTTTTTGTCATCCAGCTCTTCACGTAGCTCCAGCAGAGTCTCCGATTTCTCCTCGCTGTAAACAGCAAACAATTCAGTTATTAGTGTTTTCATAATTAGATTGTCTCACTTACAGTTCTTGACGCAATTTACGATTCTTAGATCTCAGATCTGCGCACTCCACGGCCAAATGATTGCTCTCTGAATTGGAAGATGACGAGGGCGTCGAGGTGGCTGTACCACTGGAAGGTGAACGGGGAACACTAACACCTTGCCCGCATTCGACACCATCAGTGGCACTAAGCTCTGGCTCCACGCACACTGTTTCGATCCACTTCAAGTACATTTGATCACGCTCCTTGGTTAGGCGGATAATGTGTCCATACATATTCTCGGCCGAAAGACGCTCTATTGAATCCTCGGTGAGCACCAGGCTGTGGCTATCAGTCACCTGTTTGATAAGCGCCACAATGCCATGCTGAGTCTCCAGATCCAGTTCCTTAATGCGCGCTATGAAAAGCTCTTTGTTGGGGCATTGCACCGCTGCGCCCAGCAACAGTGTTAGCAGAGTTTTCATCTGTTCCAAGCCCTGCTTGCTCTCCGGATAGTAGCCCAGTATATACGCATCTGGCAGCACCAGTATAGTCTGTCCCAGCTCTTCTTCGAACAATGCTTTTAGGTTACGTACAATGCACTCAAAGTTTTTGGCTCGCGCAATGCTCAGCGACTTGCCGCTTAGTTCACTGAGCAGTTCGCTGGGATTGTTCTGTGGTTCCGGATCAATTTGTAACCAAACGCTGTGTATTATGTGGCCATCCAGCAGCGAGGTATAACCAGCGAGCAGCTCGGCACGTGGCAAGCATGATTCCAACTGAAAGTGAAAGGTCGTACAAGATTAGGTTGCAAGTAAGTACAGCCATAACATGAATTAAGTTTAATATATTCACAAGGATACCTTGTACCAATTGGCGAATTCATTTTTTCATTGAGGAAAAGATAGTATTCCCAACTTGAATATTTATATATATACATTTACATATAAGAATAATTTATATTGAATATCATATTAATATCCCCTTTTTTAGCATACAAATTTATCAAGGGTATAAAAGCCGGTCGAGCAAAACTCAAGAGTTCTCGCAATTGGCAAACAAAGGCCTGCCGACGGGCCGCTACTAATGACAGCATTAAAAAAGTTGTTTTTGTACCGTAAACGGTAGCAATAGCCAAAGCCACAGTTACAATGACCTTGGGGCTAAGCGTCGGAAATCTCTGTGGCTATAAATATGTATGTACGCATGTGTGCTTCTATGTATTTTCATACATACCCGTATGTGCGGGATCATGTAAATTGAATACTTGAATATGTCTGTATGCCAATCACGTTTTTATTCGGCTGCCCTCTTATGAGCATGTCGAGCATGTTTATCCACTCACTCACCCAAGAGACGAGCGCTCCATTTATGAATTCGTCAATTTCCATCGGTGTTGCGGTTGCCGTGCCAGCCATTGTTGTTGTTGCTGATGTTTTTCCAGTGCACGCGTGTGTGTGTGTGTGTGAGTGTGCCTGCGTGCGTGTGCTTATGGGGCTACACCTGCACCTGCCGTCAATGCAATAATTGAAGCGGCGACACCAACGGCAAGGGCGGCTGTGTCTTTGTTTCTAATTTAATTGCCGCCGTGACAGCTTCACAGCTTCCAAATCATTTTACATGCAAACACACACACTCACACACGCGTGGATAGAAGCCGTTTGCCAATAACAATAACAGAAAACTGGGGAAGATCTTATATATTTGTTCTTAATCTTGAATATAAGCTTCGGACAAGCGATTAGGTCGGTTGATTTAATATTAACAAGTAACAATCTAAGGTTTTTATTTTATTTTTTTTGCGAAACACCTGCGTTGCGCTTGTTGTAAATTTGGGATGTAAGAAATAAACAGCTAGAGATGTGCCTAATATATCGATACAGTTCATTTCATATCGATATAAGTACATTTTTAAAAATAAATATTGTTATAAATTATTGGATTTGATTCGGTATTAATTAAATCGAATTCTACCTTATTTAAAATTATATGCGTCTCCATGTCCGTAGACTCAATATTGATTTCTAATCGAGACAGTAATGGTATCGATCTGTAGGCAGCTGTTTACTATTTTGCCACTACTGGCAACGCTGCCAGTTAGTTGCCGTTGACATTTCTTAGCGCCCAAAGCTTACTTGTGTGCGGGAATGCCTGGCTATACTGGCGAACGGATTATTTAACGCGTCTGTAAAGATGGCTTCGATTGCGCATCCAAAATTGCAAATTACGAAAATTGCACTGTTAAATTAGTTAGTTATATGAAAATAGACGGATTCGAAACGCATTGAAAACGAATAATATAAAAAAACGACCGTAAGAGTGTGTGAAGTTAAAAGCGGCTTGCCTATATTTAGATAATTCTATATATATATGCACATTTAGTTGCAAATAGGTTAAAATATTTAAATATACGATATGGGCAACCAACCGGGTAAACTGCAGACGCCACAGAGTGGACGGCCCAAAAAGAATGTGCATTGGAAATCTGCAGGCAAGTTAAACGGAAAAGCCCGTTCTAAATTCCATTAGAAATCAAGTAAAATTCAAAAATGTATTCCCGAATTTCCACACACTGAAAATCTTCTCTAATTGGCTGTGAGAGCTCGCACACACATAGTACTAGTAGTCCACATAGTTGGTGGGAGCGCTAGAAATATTGCTATTTTTAGCCACTCGCACATTCAAGTGGTTGCCGCGACCGTCCATTGACGCGACGCTGTCCGTCGGTCCGTTTTTCTGTTTTATATACCCATTGAACATCAATAAAAAAATGAGTATGATATATGACTGAAGCATTTGTAATTTTTGTTTGTATCTACTCTTCTATATATCTTCTTGATATTATTTTTGTCTAATTAAGAAAGTTAGTCTCATATGGTTTTATTTGTAAATAAATATGCGAGCTCTGAAAGATTACAGGGTAACCACCAGCTTGAATATCTCCTAGAGTAGAGTAGAGTAAAGTACAATATTTTTATCAACTCAGAGTTCAGTACTGCATTTTGTAGATTAAATTATGGCAAATGACAAATTAAGATTATGTCATATATATTTATTTAATGGTTAATATTTCCCTACAGGGCATTTGCTAGTCGGTCCCTTGCGTCTCTAGCAATCTTGTTTCGTCTGTTTTTATTGAATGTTTGGCCTAAAATTTGAAAGAACTACAAAGTAATGTTTTCGAAATAGTCTATTTTGGATACTGCGCAAGCGCTTGAGTTTCGAGCTTTTAGAATGTATTTTGTGCATTATTTACCTGTGATTAATTTGCTCTCTGTATTTGATAGAACGGCCCTCTCCGCCGGGTCGTCCCATATTAACGCCGTTGGCGCTCTCCGAGCAGCAGCCCGATGTGGTTAATCTGCGCTGGGAACGCCCGCAGCTGGACGGCGGCTCGCCTATTATCGGCTATACGGTGGAACAGCGACGCGTCGGCTCGCCCCACTGGGTGCGTGCCACACCCACGCCCATCTCCGGTTGTGAAATTCAGATCAGCGGCCTGGAGCCGGGCTGGCGCTACGAATTTCGTTGCTTTGCCGAGAACATTGTGGGTCGCTCGAATGCCAGCGAGCTGTCCGATCCGCTGACTGTGACCTTGCAGAGGAACGCAATCACCGTGCCACGCTTTGTGGAGGAGCTGACGGACATGGATGCCGTCGAGGATGAGCGCATCGAGTTCCGCGTGCGAGTTCTGGGCGAACCGCCGCCAGAGATCAATTGGTTCAAGGATGGCTACGAGATCTTCAGCAGTCGTCGCACCAAAATTGTCAATGAGCTCGATTGCAGTGTGCTGATCATACACCAGGTGGCGCTGACCGACGAGGGCGAGATCAAGTGCTCGGCCACGAATCGAGCGGGTCATGTGGTCACCAAGTGTCGCCTGAAAGTACAGGCACCGCCCAAGATCCGTCTGCCGCGCACCTACGAGGATGGCCTCATCGTGGAGGCAGAGGAAGTGCTGCGTTTGAAGGTGGGCGTGGCGGGACAGCCAGCACCAGCCATCACCTGGCTGCACGAGGGCGAGGTCATAGTGCCGGGCAATCGTTTCGAGATCACCAACACGGAGAAGAACTCGCTGCTGAAAATCGACAACGTGCAGCGCGCAGATCGGGGCGAGTATATGGTGCGCGCGTGGAACAAGCTAGGGGACGATATTGCCTCCTTCCTGGTCACCGTGACAGCTAGGCCGAATCCGCCAGGTGCTCCACGCCTCAACATGTCCTTCGGCAAGTCGGCCACGTTGTCGTGGACAGCTCCGCTGGACGATGGTGGCTGCAAGATCGGCAACTATATCGTGGAATACTTTCGCATTGGCTGGAACGTTTGGCTAAAGGCAGCCACCACACGGGCGCTGAGCACCACCTTGCACGATCTGATTGAGGGCTCCGAGTACAAGTTTCGCGTAAAGGCGGAGAATCCTTACGGCTTGAGTGAGCCATCGGAGGAGTCGGAGTTGCTCTTCATACCCGATCCCAAGCGTGGCATCACCAAGCCCAAGTCGGCCTCCAAAATAGCTGGCGATGAGCGCAATGACGCTGGGCATAAGGAGAAGGACAAGGACATATCGAAGCCTGTGCCGCCGCGCCGCAAGACGCTGTCGCCGCCACGTCCACAAGCGGATGCGGCGACCAGCATGTCCGCTTCGCCCAAGCAATCGCCACGTGGTTCGCGCAAGCCCACGCCACAGCTGGTGGACAGCGAGCAGCTGCGCCACGAGATGTCCTACGGCACCTCCGACCAGGCGCTGAAAATGAGCGTGCGCAAGAGCCCATCGCTAAGCAGCGCCGACTCGGCTGCCGTGCAAACCAAAACCACCAAGCCCGACTCCAATCCCAAGCTCAATTTGACGCTGATAACAACAACAGCGCTGGCGGATAAGCCGGAGCCCCAGCCCAAGCCACCAAAGTCGCCCCCAGCTGCAGTGCCGCTGAAGCTCTTCAATGTCAAGCCGCTGGCTACGGCCAAGGACAAGTCACCTGGTCGTCCAGTACAGAAGTCGAAGCCACAGACGCAGCCGCAGCCGCAGCCACTGCCGCAACCTCCGACAGCAGCACTGGAGCCTGCCTTGGATTCGTCTCAGCGTCAGCCTGCACCACTGCGAAAGAGTCCTACGCCGCCGCAGCCCATCAAATCGACGCCCGCCCTGCAGCGCAGCGCTGAGCCCGTCCAGCTGGGCGTCAATCAGAATGTGAGACGCTTCTCTGGGCACTCCCTGAGCCCGGCCAAGCATGTGCCGGCCTTAGCGATTGCCATAGCCACCACTGCCCACATTGGCGAACCGTTGCCCACCATAGAGATCAGTGCCCCGCCTCCTGCCGAGCCTGAGCTACTTGTGCCGGCCACTCCCACATCGGAGCCGACGCCACCAGTGGCAAAGGTGCGTCCACCGAAGCCAGCGGATAAACACGACGAAGTCCATACGAGCAATGAGTTCATGCTAGTGGTCTTCGACAAGAATAGCAAGGTCAAGGATAAGGACAGTAAGTAGCTAAGGTAATTCCAAAATCTCCCATTGATATTTGCTTTGCCTCGACCAGAGCAAGATTCCTTTGAGCTGGAACTGGAGGACGCCATACAGCCACCGCCGATCTCCATCTCTGCACCGGATTTGGCCTTCTTGGAGTTCACCAATTTGCACACGACTTTCCCGCTGCGCCGCTCGGTCAGCTCCACGGAGCTGCTCTACGAGCGTGCCATGGCGCGCTTCTACGAAGCCGTGGAATTGGAGCAAGCCGCCAAATCGAAGGTGAAGACTGCGAAGGCCCAGGAGCCGGCAGCCATAGCCGTGACCGCTCCGACTACGTTCCGCAAGCGCCTGGGCTCTATGACGGAGGCGGAGCGTGCTTCCTTTGAGCGCCGCAGCGAGCTGAGACGCCAGTCGGCTGACATGGTGCCCATGGGACGTAAATGGGATTCACGGGAGAACATCAACCTCGTTGACTTAAAGAATTTGACACGTGCCAACACGGAGCAGTTGCTCAATCTGCAGGCAAGAGACACTGATGGTCGCGAACAGGATATGGAGGAGTATGACGAGGATCGCACGGAGAGCACAGCCGATGACAGCGAGGATTTGGATATGGACGAGGAGCAGCAGCAGCAGCAGGGCTTCGACCTGGGCACTGATTATACCGAGAGCACCGCCACCTCCGACCAGGACTCCATTGAGAAATTCAAAATGCAGCTAATGGCTCGCACTCACTCACCTAGTCCACGTGACCTGGAGACGTATCATCCGCGCAACATGAGCGCCGGAACCTTCACCCCGTACCGTGCACCCACGCCGGAGCAGGCAGCTGTGGTGCTCAATCGGCCAATGCCTCTGCCCAGTCCGGACTTTGTGCCAAAGCCCATACTGAAACGGTCATCCAATGAGCACGTCGAGCTTACCCTTAGCCAGCCTAGCAGCCCGGATGCACAGCAACAGGAGCTGGGAAATGGCGCTGTCAGCAGCCCTTCCACTCCTGCTGCAGCACCCAGTAATTTGAAACTGGATCTGGCCAAGGGCATTAAGTCCTTTTTCAGCCGGGACAAGCGGTCGGCCACCGAGAAGAACACCGAGGCCAACGAGGAGATCTCGAATCCACTGGAGAAGACCAACGCTGCAGCCATCGCTGCAGAGCTGGAGACGAAACGCAAGATAAAAGAGGAGGAGGAGTTGCGGCGCCAGGAGCAGGAACGACTGATGCAGGAGGAGGCCCACGCAGCCGTGGATCACTACAGCGATCTGGTGCGCCAGGTGAGCAGCACCCACAAGTACCACACGCCGCTCTACCTCGACCGAGACGAACTGAAGCGAGCCGCTGCCCAGGCGGGGGAGGATGACGACGACGACGATGGTGCTGCAGCGGAGCATCAGCAGCGTCGAGCACGCAGTCCCGATCAGGATGAACTGCTGCTGGCTCCGCCCACCGTCAGTCGGGAGCGACGTCTGTCCATTTCAGAGCGGGAGCAGCTTGTACATGTGCGTGACGCAGCCAGCAAACATGCCATGCACAAGGCGCCTGAGACACCTGCATATAAGGATCAGCGGGAGGAGGAGGAGCCGGAGTTTCCCACTGTGCTGGTGGTGCCGCCACCCAAGTCCAAGAACAATAAAGACGCCGAGGAGTGCGCCGAGAGTGTGATGAGCGAAATAGTAGAGGCGCGCCCCGATGCTCGTGGACGCACGCGTCTGGTGAAGGTCAAGCGTGTGATCAAGCGCCGTGTGCCTTCCAGCACGCGCTCCCGCGATGCCTCGCTGAGCAGGCCACAGCAGCCGGTCGCAGCCGGTGGTAGTCCTATGCCCCAGGGGCACAGCTCGCAAGCGTCATTGCTGCTGTCCGCCGCGGATCGTGAGCTGTTGGAGAAGGCGGCCAGCTTGGCGCTGCTGCAGTCCTGTTCCGAGGAGCAGGCGCACGAGAAGGTGCGCTCCGCATTGAGCTACTGCACGGATCTGGTGCTCTTCCTCGTAGCCTGCTATGTCTATCTGTTCAAGGACGCACGCCTCGTCCTGCCCATCTTGGCGCTGATGATCTATCGCCAGCTGGGCGAGGCCGTGCGTAGCTACATCCCCAGCTGGCTGCGACGCAAAGGCAACGATGGCGGTGCCTGAGCCACCCGAATCGACAGCTGCCCCACAGTTCATCATGCGTTTATCAGTTAAGTTAGCTCTTATCAATCTATCGACTTGTATTTTAAGCTTAAGTCCCCTAAAAACTTCGGATCTACTACGAATTTCTTATGGATAAACCTGTATACGTATACGTTTACTTAAATTATATAGTTGACCGATCTTAGACTTGTTGCAGTTAGATATACTTTTTGATTATGTGAAATCATATTAACGTCGTATTTGTCCGATTGGTATCATTAGAGGCTGGAATTTGTGATTCGTTTATCTTCTGTCATATCATTTTATTGAGTCAACTAAATTTCTCATGGAGAACTTACATTTAGAGTTACAAAACTCATGGAGGGATTTATTGTCATGATACCTAGTCTAATTCTGTACAAAAACAAGACCTAGCCATAATTCCTATTGTTTTCTTACATAATGTTTCGAATTGTTAATATCGCACTATTCATATTTGTCTTCTATTGAAATGCCAGTTTTAACTAGGAGAATATTATCTCTATTTTAAAGACAACTGAGTTATCTACTCTAAAAATCTGCTGTAGCATTACAATATATAGTCATATTATAGCTAGCTGCTCGCCAAGCATCGGTTTACTATATCTATTAAAATCACTATACTTAAGCTGACATTGTTATGTGTTGTGGTACTCTCTCCCTCTCTGCCCTCCCACTCAGTGCTCGCTGTTTAGGCCCAATAGATTATATTTTGTGTTTGTTTACGACTTATTTTGTCGGTCTTTTCTGGATTGTTGGTCAATTATTTATTTGAGAAATAAAGCACACAAAAACAAGAATCTAGTCAAGTTCCGGTGAGACGTCAGCGCGATATCCAACTATAAACAGATCGAACCCGGTGACTTTCCTTATCGTTCGGTATGTCAACAGCAGCAGCAGCAGCAGCAGCAGCAGCCGGTGCTGCGACAAAATTCATGGAATATTCTTTGGGCTTATCTGATCTATGTAAATAGATATTTGGCATAAAAGGGAAATGCTGAAGTGGCCAGAAGCACATTCCTTCCTCGATATTCCCAGCATGTCTGCCACATACGCCTGGATGCTCGTGCTCTGCTTGGGCTTTGCTCTGGGCAACGCTGCTATAATACAAGGTCAGGAGACCGCGGTCGGACCACCGCCAGATCTGGCTCAGGATCTAACGGATGTCTATGGCCAAATACAGCTGAAGCCCATGCAGAAGCTGTTTGTGCGCTACCTGCTGAACGATGGACAGTTCCAGGCCTTCGTGCGCATCTTGAACAGCAATGCGGGCTTCACGGCCTACTGGCGCCTGCTGGCGCAGCCGGAGGTGCTGCTGTTCCGGCAGTGGGTGGATCAACAGCTGTTGGCTTCCTCGGGCAAGTTCGAGCTGGAACCAGTGGAAGTGTGCACCTCACTGGTGAATCGCTATCCGTACCTATCGGGCACCGTCTTTGGCTGGCAGGGATTCCTCAATGAGCTGGAAATGTATTTCCCACTTTATGCCATCAACGCCCAAGTGCAGCTCAAGGTGCAGCAGGGCGGCATCTTCGCGCAATTCTATCAGCGATTGAGCGCCCTGAAGGCAGTCTACGAGCGCTGGCTGGCCACACCCATCACCCAGACGGTGCTTAGCCAGCTCCAAGCCGAGGGCATTGACACTGACCAGCTGGACACAATTGTGCGGGATCTATTTGGCTGGCAAGTAACCAATACAACGGCCGCTACACTCAGGCCCACGCCAACTGTTCCAGATGGCGCTGTGATGATGCCTGGAGCTCCACTGGTCATTTAATGCCTAGTATAGAGGCTAAACCCCTGCTCGGGTCGAGCTTGGCTAAATATGGTAAATGGTGTACTTATTTATATATAAAAATATATATGAGCAACTATTTAGCAACTGAATCTTTTATTGGTCTAAATTGTAAACGAAAACATTTCAAACAATAATTCGCTAATAGAATAAGTGTAAAATGAGTTGGAGTGACTGGAAGTCCAATAGGAAAAGGAGGCGAACAGACAGTGCTAACCTTTTTATGGGTCCAATCAGAAAATTGATTCAAGACAATTACTTACACATACATAGATATAATTGTAGAGTAAATACAATTTCAACTTATCTAGGTGCTATAAAAACGGCTTCTATAAAAGTTGCATTACTAACTTGACCTGCTATGATTCATATAAGACCAATTGTTCCAGCTTAAATAAGTTTTCTCAATATCTATTCGAACTGAATTATAGAACATGCAGCCACAGCTGAACAGTCTAAACGAACACTTTTATCTATATTTTTTTTATATATGTACATAGATATATGTATGTATGTGTATAATCCTTTGAACTAACATTATTAACAAATAGCATTTATTGACTTGAATGCTATTTTAGAACTTAAGCTTGCCCAGCGTATCGGAGACTTTGCTGGAATTGGCCGCAGGTTTCTTTTTGTTTTTGATAGGCGTGGCCGCCGGCTTGGGCTTCTTAACGACCATATCCTTGTGGAGCACCTTTAGTGTTTCATCCACCTTCTCCTGCTTGGCCTTAACAGTCTCCTTGAGCTGAGAAAAGTGAAGCAGTTAAAGGTCTGGGAATCATGGTAGATCTGAATGACTCGCTTGGCTCACCTGCTTGAGCTTGCCCTTCACTTCCTTGGGCTTCTTTTTGCCCTTGTTGTTGGTCACCTTGAAGACGTTTTTGGCCTTCTTGGATTTATTTAGTGCAGGCTTGGCAGATGCTTTGCCAGCAGCTGCACCTCCGCCCGCTCCCGCTCCCGCTCCCGCTCCCTTCTTGGCATTGGCCTTGTTGCGACCCATGACGATGTGGCTGTAAATACAACAGAAGAGACACGAATCCATTTTTATAGAAACTTCATAAACTTTATTTTTAGCTTAGTCAAACACATTTAACTTTTGTGGCAGCCACATCGAGCTCCTCATTTGTTTCATCTGTGGAACAGGGTCGCTTGCCCAGCAGCTGCTTGGGCGTGGTTAAGAGCGCTCGGGTTAGTTTAAAGGAAACTCTATACATGTCCTTGTTGGGCGCTACATTGCGAACAAAGCTTATTCCCTGCAGCTCGTCACCCAATGTTGCACCCAGATTACTTTCCACCAGCTGCTGCACCAGTGCCTTGGTATTTTCTCCCTTGGCAAAGGAATAGACATGTACTAGTGGATAGTTGGCTTCCTCTGGTACCTCCTCCGGCGTATATAAGCCTCGAAACGTATCCAGAAATTCCACAGCCATTGCTGGCAGATTCATGGTTACATGAATTTTATAGGGCTCAGCTGTAGCTGGGGTGCGCCAACGCTCTAGCAAATCCTCTCGCAGCTCCTTTAGGATAAACTCTCGCCCATCCTTATTAAACATTTTGATATGTGCCAAGCACTTGTTGCGCTTGGCATTGTGCTGCAGCCATTGATAGCTGACGGGATTCAGGTCATTGGCCAGCACCTTGCAATGCTTCTTGGCCGCTGGCACACTAAAGGGACCAACACCAGCGAACACGTCGTAGAGCACATCATTAGGCTTTAGCATGTTGACAATCCTCTCGTGCTCTGTAGACAAACGTGGATTCCAATAGACCTTGGAGAAGTCAAACTCAAAAGGCACGCCGTTCTCTTTGGTCTCTACCTGGTAGTCTGGCTCACCGCAAATCAGCTCTAGCTGAAAATTGCGATAGGTATTGTCAATGGAGGCCGCCTTGTTGACCACGGTGCGACAATTGGGCAGCTTATCGCGCAGCACCTCACCGATGAGCTGTTTGTAGGGAAGCAGGTGATCACGCAGATTCAAGTGGACTATGTGCCCAATCCGCGAAAAGGAAGAGAGTCCCTCTTCGTTCTCTGGCAGCACACTCTTCAATATCTCATTGGCGCTCCAGTTTTCGTAGGTCAACTCGAGATCTGCATGACTGAAATTCTCCTGCGTCACCTGCTGTTGCTCCAGCTCGGCGGTGGGTAAGGACTCCCAATTCTTAACAGGTAGTGGATGCAACAGTATTTCACGTTGATTCTCCACGGCTCGTACTGGGTGCAGATGCTCCATTTTAAGTAGCAGCTTCTTAACCAACGGAATCACACGCTGCACCTGAGATTCGGGCACTCGTAGTCGGGGGATTTGCACATGTTTTTGAAAGTCCGCGCGCTGCAGCTCACGCATGCCACGTACTGAGGCAGGCGGCGACAGCAATGTGCACTCCATGTTGCGGTAATAATGGCGTAAACGTTTGCTTATTAACAGCAAATTTACGATTTTGGTAAGGGGTGGGGGCCTGGTGACCACGGAAAACATTAACAAAAAAACGTGCATGCAATCAATGCAGTCTCTTAGAATTGGTTTTACACGTTTGAAAATTGTTACAGATTATGGCATCCAGCAACAATTAACCAATATAGCTTCAGTAAACACAAATAAACGTTCAGTTTATGTTAATAACACAATTTTCTTCGAAAATTACCTTATTTCTCAGATATTATAAAGCCAGCGAAAACAAATGAACTGGATGTTAGTTCCACGATGAACTCGTTCCACTCTTACTTTTGCAATTGGTCTGGCAGCGCCGCAGTTAACAGCTGTTTGTGGCTAGCAAAATGAGCGGCGCGCAAGAAAACACAATTGAAATTTATCCCAAAACGCGATATTTAAGGTGAGTACTGAATTAAGTATATAAGAACTACATGTTAAAAGTGTCTATAGTGCTTCAGAGCTTGTAGCACAGCGGCATCCTGAAGTTGAATCACCAAGAAACGGGCTTAAGCGCACCAACACTGAAGACAGTGCAGAGGAAACTGAGGAGTTAAAAAATGCCTACGGTGAAACTTGTTTTTTGTTTAGTAAATATTTAAAAAATAAACATCGGGCGTTGTTATTACAGCTAATTTGCGGATGCAATTATCTGCTCGGCGTATTGAGCGCCATTCAGGCCGTGCTATAGCCATATGGCGCGACGATCAACAGGCTGCCGAAGTCGTGCGTAAAGATGGAAAGTTTGAGAGTTTTGGCTACAGTCAACAAGGGAAGCTCTATTTGGAATATTACGAGGCTTTATTTCTGCTGGAATTAGTGTGTATATTTGCATCATATTAGATGATAATATTTGCTAAACATATTATCTATTATCACAACAGAACCGCCTTCAATTAGAGTACTGTGGAATGATTGTCTCCATCGAACAGGCCTACGTCTTGTTGCTTGGTGAGGAGGCTAGTGAAAAGTATAACAACTATTTGGTCTATTCGGCTTTGTCACGCGCTGGTTATATAGTTGTCAGGCATCAGGAAGGGTATCGAGCAGCGTCTAGTGACGTAGTTACTAGAGATGACTGTATTTGGGCTCTGTTGGATGCTTCTTTAAGTAATAAGCCTGTTCCCCTTCACATCAAAGTCTCCCAATTTTACAACGCTACGTTCGAGCGAATGGTGCAGCTCAAGCAGCAAATAAAAAATCAAAGCACAGAAGCAACCACTGACGAGATCAGCATAAATAATGAGGTTAACGCCTTTAAGTTTGACACACGCAAGCGTAGAGCGCAATCAGAACCAGCTGAGGAGCTAGCTAGCAAAAGGGCAAGTACAACAGGGAGAAGTCTTATAGATGACCTGAAAGATGAGGAAAGCTACAGGAAATTTCAACAAACTTTCGAAAAATTGGATATAGTGCGGCTGCACAGCGTGGATTACAACTGCGATGTAGACTCGACAATCCGCACCTTTAAGATCACCTTTGATTTGCATCTTCATAACGAAGGCTTCCGGAGAAGTTCTCCAAAGACACCCACCTTCAGCGTGATTATTCTACAGCACGACGAACCATTTCCCACCCACATCGAGATGCTCCACTGCCAACGCCAGCAGATGCGAGCAGATGAGCGAGCGCCGCTGCTCGTCATATCCGTAAGCGAATCGAAACACATACAAGCGTTTCTTTATTATATCAGTTAATAATTGCTCCTATAAATGTATTTTGTATAACCATATGGAAAATAATAATTGCTATTTTATATGCGTGTCCATAAAAAGCTCTTTAATTATTTAGTTGACGTGCGTAGTTAAAAACTATTCAATCAGAAAATTGTCATCATTGTTTAGGCACTCTCAAAATTGTTAAATTTTTTTTATTTTTAATACGGAAATTGTTATTTTTTTTAACTATGGTAAAGTTAATGTTAAGCTATAATTAGACCGCTTATTAACATTTGAATACACAGAATGTGCCAATTGTTTGGGTTATGGGTGGACCCAGCAGCGGTAAGACTACGCTCGCTCAAAGTATTGTGGAGAAGTATGGATATAAGCACGTGGATATCAATGCCCTTATAGAACATGAGGCAAGTGCTAAAGGCAATCGATAATCTATACTTAACATAGAATCTGTCGCAGATTGAGACCAACACGCCTAAGGGCAAAGAATTCGCTGAGGTAGTCAATAATGGTCAATTGGTGCCGTTAGCTGAGGTCATGCCGTTAGTGGAACAGCAACTAATGAGTAATAAATCGGGACTTCGAGGCTTTGTCATAGATGGGTAACTATGCAGTAGACAGTGTCGAAAGTTGTCCTGTACAGCCTGCGATATTTCTTCAGCTATCCTACAAACCAAGCGGATGCCGCTGTTTTGGAGCAGCAAGTTGGTACTCCAGATTTGGTAATTGCCCTGAGTGTGGGGCAGGAGACGATAGACACGCGCCGATCTTCACTGAATGCACGAGCTAGCATTACGGCCCAGGCATATATGAAAAATGTGAAGCCAGTGCTGGATCGGTATGCCGAAAAGACGATGCAGATCGATGGCGATCGCGATGCTAATGAAGTCTTTGAGGATGTGAAGCCCAACATGGAGATAATCAACAAAAACCATGGCCCAAAAATCTCTATTGGCCGTTAAGTGATATAGAAATTATGGCGCTGACAAATTAATCAAAAATTATAGTTTAAAATTAAAAGGTTAAGTATAACAGATTTTTTTTTTTTTTTTACTTTTCATATACAATTGTATATGTTTATGTATGCACCATAGTGCGCGATAAGCAGAACTAAAAAAAAACGAAAAGCTCGTATAGCAAAGCTGCATGGCATTAGCTTCTCGAAACCGTTAGCGAAAGCTTTGCGCTCAGTCGCTCCCGACACACGCTGCATTAAGGGTGGAAATTCGACAAAACGGAAAAGACGCGACCAAGCGAATCAAACCAAAGCAATAGCAAAACAAAATCTGTGCGAATTAACAGCAACAACACGCCTACATAAGCAGCGCGACTCTCTAACGAAAAGCATTTCGCGATTTATTTAACAACAACAACAGCACAAGGCCCACAGCAGCGTCGCATATACCTCGTATACATCGTCATGGTAAGTCGGTGTGAGTGCGTGCCAGTGTATGTGTGTGTGTGTTTGTGTGTACTAGTTTACTTCTCTAAAAACAATTTATGGCTTTCCCAATCGTGTGTGATTTGCGATACCAGAAGCAAAACAAACGGAGGCGAATTGTTGTTATAGAGATTAGTATAGTGCAATCCTCGGTTCGATTGACCTTCGAACCTTCCACTGAAAGCTCTGACTGCATTCCCACACACTTGACCTTGTGCTCACATACATACATATACATACAAATGCTCGTATAGCTCACCAATTGCAAACAAACATTTGCAAGCAAATAAACTTTCCTATGCACCGACTTTTTTCCCGTTTTTGTTTGAGCTTGCGCGTCAGCTGTTCGGCTATAAATAACAGAACCGAACACAACAAAACAGATGAATACCGGTAACCAGAGTGCCTGTGAAATTCCCACAACAACAACTGCACAAGAAACAGCCATAAAAACAAACAAGAAGAAAACAGTTAGGCACATAGAGAACCGAAGACTGAATACTCTTGCGGCTAGAGCGAGATAGACTGAGTTTTTTAGCGTAGCAAAATGTGATATTGAAATAATGGTATATAAGTATATAAGTGTATATAAGTGTGTATGATATACAAAATTAGACGTGTGGCAAAGTCAAATGTTATATTCAAATCATTTTTTATAAAATATAGTATATAAAGAAACTATATTTATAAACTATTAGGTGTGCGCAGTCTATATAATGATGCGATCGACGTGACGCAGCTATGAAAAGTCTTAGCATGATTATAGCTTAAAATCTGACAGACTGAGGATAGACATTTTCATATGAACTCGATTCTTGATAGTACATTCTGATTCTGAATAGTATATAAATACATACATATATACATATATAACAATATTTATAACAAAATCAAACGATCGCCACTGTTGGTTAGGGCATACAAATAACTGAGCCACAAATTAACGTATCAAATGACAATAAAAAAAGAAGAAGAAGCTGAAGAAACAAAACACAATTTCACATTCCAAGCCAAGTCGAGTTTCATGACGTCAAGTCCAAAAATTTGCATAAATCGCACGACAGGTGGAGCTGGTCCCAGGAATTTCTGGCTGGGCTTGATTCATTAGCGAGCGCTGTGCCTCGAAATGTGTTTATTGAAGAACTACGATTGAATTAGTCGAGTCATCCGGGCTTTTATGAGTCGATCGATGGCGTCTCCATGCCGGACTCTTGGCATTAGTTTGTTAGCAAAGCTGGCTTTGATTTTAAATATTGTTTAAGCATCGGCGACGACACAAAGTCGCGACGCATGGAATTTTTGCAAGCAAAACAAAAACAAACTTAGTGAAGCCATAATAAAAATTCCTTCAGTTCCGTTTGGGAGCTATGAAATAAAATAAAAAGTTAAATAGTTGAGAACCTGAACAACTGTTTCGTCAAATATTTACAATGCATCGCGTGCCAAAGAAAACGTTCGATATATCCTTGTAAATGTCATTCATAGGTCACTGAACCAAATCCAAATCGAAATCTGAACGAGTTACGTAAATGCCATGCCATTGAAAAATCATCATTAACATCATCATTATGATTTTCCCACACCTAACTGAAAAAAGAAATATGTGAAAATATGTGAAAAGACGTGAAAAGAACTCGTGCGAGCTTAAGAGAGCGAGGTCCAAATTTATGCGCCACGAAATACAAAAGTTGAAATATTTATATATATATATGAGGAAAAACAACCTGCACATTATCAACTAGAGCAAGAAGAACTTGAAATTCATTCATATTGTTGTTTTCATTTATATACATATATTATACATAAAATTTTTGTTAAATTCTAAGAGAAATTTGTTGAAAAGGTGAGACAATGCGGAACAGTCGAAGCGTTTAACAAGGGGAGGTTATTCTATATTATATGGGATATATACAGAAAACAGAGCAGTAGCAATGATATATGTATATAAATATACAGGCTATACACCCACATAAAACTACATAAACAGCGGCAGCAGTAAAACTTAATTATATTTGTTTATCAATTTTGATTTGTTTGGTTTAATCTGAACAATAAACGGATATATAAAACAAGTGCTATATAAAGTCGATGAGTTATACGCTCTATGGGGCGCTAATTGAACCGCTAACTAGGTGGTATACATATATGTATATGTAAATACATATAATAGATCCAAACTCGCACAGCATCCAACAAACTCAAACCCTCTCACTCTTACTCAATTATACAGTTATGTGCGTTCAAGATCAATGTCAATTTGTAAACACACGCAATACACATGATATATATGTTCTATATAGATATATACAACTATTATATATATATATATAGAGAGAGAGAGAGAATAATTGTATATATAGCGCATTTTGAAGGCTGTACTAATTGTGTATATTTCAAAGTTGGCGTCAAACAATTTTGTTTGATTATGCTCGCTCAACGAGCAGACTGGCGTATATGTGGCTTTGTAAAATTAGAGAATTTATATATTAAATATGTGTATACACATATAGGCATATTGAATGAAGTGTTCCCTCTCTAGATAAAGCTCTTTAAATATCATTTTGTTCCTTTTTTAATAAATTTAGCGAGTATTATGCAGTTGTTTGCGGTTGGCCATTGGCGCTTTGCCAATATAATTAATAACTATATTTTAACAATAGCTCTGACTTAATCACACTCAAGTAGATGCAATATATATTCTGTTTGCGCCATTTAATAAATGAGATAATTTTTATCACTAGCCATATAACACAAACCCTTGTTCCAGATTTCCAGTCTATATGGCTAGTGATTTTATCGACTTCTATATAATTTATTATATAGTTTAAATAGTACACATTGCATTTGCTTTATACATTGTCATTATAGTTATTTAGTATTGATTTATGGCCCATAGTCAGATAGATTTACAGAGTATAACATATTAAGTTTAAATTTAAAAATATATAAAAAAGTCGTTTGTATTTAGAATTTGCATAATAAATTCGTAATAGATGTATTTGTTTAAATAATAAATAATTAAATCAAGTAATAAATTGTATAGTATCCGAATTTTCAATACACTCCCACTATATTCAGTTTAGGTTTAGCTTTCTATAACTCTCTCAAAATTTTCTTATGTATTTAAAAATATCGTAATTGCAAATTTTAAAATTGCAAAATGAAAGTTGTAAGATTTCAACTTGTCATTGGCAACGTAAGAGAATAAATAAAATAATAAATGCATTTGATTACGTATACGCAACATGTGCCCCTTTTTCTCACATTACCTATTCGTGTGTAGTTGTTTATGTGTCACCAAATGGCCATGAAGAAGGAGGCCCAAGACAAACAGAAAGCGGAGCAACGGCGTAAGGCCCAGTCCGTCGTAAGTAGCCCCACAACATATAGACACCAATTGTATACATATATTACGATATCTATATTGATGTATATCGCATGCGATGTGGCGGCTGATTAAATAGAGAATACAAAATAAAACCCTAAAAAATGAAAACCAATTCTAAATCAAAGATAATGTTCTTGAAACTCTGCTCGAACTAACTCGACTAAGGCTTTCGTCCGACCAGTGTACACTAACTTGGCTAATTGCAATTGCTCGCCGTTGGCTCTCTGTGTCCTACTAATCAATCCCGCTTTTGCTGCTCTCTTACAGTCTGATATACCCATCATTTGGATTCTGGGCGGCCCCGGCTGCGGCAAAGGCACCCAATGTGCCAAGATCGTGGAGAAATACGGTTTCACACACTTGAGCAGCGGCGATTTGCTCAGGGAGGAGGTGAGTTGGGGTAGCCAGGGGCAACTTGGGATTTCTATGCTAATAACTCTCTATTTTCTCAGGTCGCCTCTGGCTCCGACAAGGGCCGCGAGCTGCAGGAGCTGATGGTCAGCGGCGCTTTGGTGCCCAATGCGCAGGTCCTTTCGCTGCTGAATGCAGCCATTACCCGGGCCAAGGGCGCCTCGAAGGGCTTCTTGATCGATGGCTATCCACGCGAGAAGAACCAGGGCATTGAGTTCGAGGCACAAATCGCGCCCGCCGATCTGGCCATCTACTTCGACTGCTCGGAGGAGACGATGCTCAAGCGCATCCTGGCACGCGCCGCCGCTGCCACAGAGAAGCGCGCCGACGACAACGAGGCGACCATTCGCTCCCGCTTGCAGACCTTCAAGCGCAACACGAGCGACATCCTCGCACTCTATGAGGAGAAGACGCTGACGGTAAGCAGATCACTCTCTGACTATACCCACATATATTCCCTCTACATATGCTGTTCCTTTGCAGATCAATGCTGAGCGCGATGTGGAGGACATTTTCATGGAGGTCGTGGAGGCCATCGACTGTGTGCTGCAGAAGAAGGAGCGAGAGTCCAAAATTTGTTAACCCAGTGCACAAGAGAGACTTTTCTAGCACAACAATTTGCACCAATGAAAGCTACGCACCAGAATATCTATATATGTATATGTATACACCTAGCTATATGTATATCGATTTGTTACCTGCTTATGCCAGGCGAAGAGCTTTAACTGCTTTAAACTATGATATATACCAAAAACAAACCAAAAGCAATCCAAATTCTAAGTACTTTACACAATAAAAATTATATGTAAAAAAATTAAAATTATTTTGAAAGTATTTTTCATTTAACTCAACTTTTATATAACAATTGAACTTTTTACTATCATTAATTAATAAAATGCAAATGTGTTTGGTTTCTTTTTTTTTAAGTTCGAATCACGTTTTTACTAATTTGCTAGTTATATGTAAGTTTTAATAGAGAACTCAAGGGCACTCTCGATATACACATGCATCTGTAGTAGAAAACATCACAATTCAATTACCTTGACTTGTGAACAGTTCCCCACGTGCTACTTGACAAACATAAAGAAAATAACCAGTTTTTTAATAACTGAAACTAAAGCTAAAACTAAAACAAGGTATATCATTTATAAACGTAGAGCTGCAGCTGTTCCAGTTGAGCTCTTAAAGGATATGTCACAAATGACTAATCAGCTCAAGTTAAGCTGGCAGCCGATTGACATCAATTGATAAATCAATGAGTACGTCATCTCCAAAATAAATCCCGATACAGTTCTAGCATGGAATTCGACTGGCATAATTTATGACAGCGCACATAAATAAATTCACATATAAACAAAACTGAAAGTCTGTTTGAGTTTGTTGTTCTCGGCCAGCGGAATGGAATGGAATCATCATCATCATCCGGCTGTTTTATCACGGAACTGCGTCATCTCTGAGTTGAAGTGGGCACAACTGGAGTGGACTTTGAAGTTCTGGCTGAAGATCTTTCAATGAACAACTCGACTGTCGAGTGCTAGGCAAACAAACGAACTCTATGTAAAACAGTGTGTATCAAAAGCCACATAAAAATAAAACGTTATGTAAAGCTCGCGCGAATTAAACAGTTAGCTGGAGAAATTATCGTATAGGCAACGTAAAAGCTTATTTTCTTCTTATCTCCAGTGATCGCTGATCTTGTGGGAATTCCGTTTGCTTCAAATCAGCATGACGAAAATAAACAAGCAAGAGTTTGCTGGTTGGGTATACCTGACTACAAAATACGCTGAGCTTAGTTGATATGAATTGGATTAGCATTCATATTACTTTCACTGCGATTTACCATAATTAGTTACGTGATTATGATGTTCACCAAGCGCTGCCACACGTCCGCTCTGCAGCAAATCAGGAACTCAACTAAAGGAACACAGCTGCAGGCTTGCACTTTTATAGCTGATGATATAACGCCTACCAGAAGGCTCTCACTTTTATAACTGATGTCGTTCAAGCGCCCTTTGCTAATTTAGCTCTTATGCTCATCTACAAGCACTCACTTTTATAGCAAACGACGACCCTCTTATGCTCGTCGTTTTATAGCTGAAACAAAGTCACTCAAGTTCCCTTTGCGAATTTAGTTCTTTTGCTCACCAGCAGGCTCGCTGTTTTATGGCGGGCTCCGTTTGTCTAGTTCTTTTGCTCGCTCTTTTATAGAAAAAGAGGCCCGCCATTTTATGGCAATTAAAATGTCGCTCAAGTCGCGCTGTTAAGTTATTTCTGCTCCATTGAAACTGTAAGTGAGTACATTTGGAGTAATTTGAGTAAAGAGAACAGAATGCATTGGATGCATTGAATATGTATTTGCATAGAGTAATTAATTGAGCATATTTGACATTTAGACTGAGCAATAGAAATTGAAAGAGAACAAAGCTGCTTGCAGCGTGTAGTTACATAAATTAATTTAGTCTTTATGAGAAATGTGTCTCTTCTCTCTGCTACATTATATAGCACAAAACCAATATACCCTCTTTGACGTAAAACAGGTAAAAATTAATACAAAAAGGTGATTTTTTTTTTGTTATTGTTTAAAATGTTTTCAACCTTTTTTATTTTCATAGCAACTTTGTGTTTGTTGCTTTCTTTTTTTTTAGAGGGAAGTTTGCGTTGATCGTGGATCGACGACTTTTGACTTATAATTAGAATAAATAATAGATATTTAAATAGTTATATACTAAAACAAATTCATGCCACAATTTGGAAATTAGCTAAGTGAGAATTGGAGTATTTACAAAATATCACACGTTCTATAAAGCTAGACGATTCAGTCAAAGTTCTGCTCTTCACTGGCCACAGGGCACAGAGTTCTAGACGAGATTGTCATCCCGATATAAGTGATGCTGCTGCTGTGGATGCTGTGAATGCTGATGCTGTTGCTGTTGTTGCTGTTGCTGTTGCTGCTGCTTCTTTTGCTGCTGCTGCTGCTGCTGTTTGTGACTGCCAATTTTGCTCTCAATCCAGTCCAGGTAGTAGGTGACCCGCGTGAAGCCGCCGGGCACGGTGGTGCGCTCGCAGCCGCCGCCAGCCTCGCCGTCAGCTGGGCCAAAGCTCGTGATGCCCACCAGCGTGTGGGTGCCCTTGAGGACCAGCGGGCCACCCGAGTCGCCGGTGCAGACTGTCTCGTCCTTCAATCCCTTCGCACAGAGCACACCCGAGGTGACGACATCGTACTCCTCGGCGCACTCCGCATTGGAGATCACCTTCAGCTCGGTGTACTGCATGGCATCCGAGTTGGACATCTCGACTATGGCACCCCAGCCGCTGGCCACCACGCTTCTGCCCGTGAACTGGTCCGCATGCTGTCTGCTGGGCAGAGCAGCGGGCCGAATGCGCGACGTGAAGACCACGTCCTGTGGCAGCTTGACCAGGGCGATGTCATTGGCCGCCGTCTCCGGATTGAAGCGTTCATGGACGATAAACTTATTCGTGCGCAGCACGAGGCCATTCAGCTGCTCGGTGGCTTCCACGCTGCGGGTGCCCAGGTACACATCGAAGTGGGTGACGCCCATGGTGCAGTGGCCGGCCGTGAGTACCCAGCGATTGTCCAGCAGCGTGCCGCCGCAGAGGATGCGCTTGCGCCACAGCTGCTTGCCGATGAGCATCACTTGGTAGGGAAACTTTTCAATGTTGCCGAACTTGGCCTGGCCAATGGCATAGCCAGAGCTGCTGTCCAGCTGGCACATGATAAACAGGCTGACAATCAACGCACTCGCACTCAATGTTTCTTTGCTCAATTCCATTTTACTGTTGTCTCACTTTGTTGTTATTTGTTGCTTTTGTTGTTGTTCTTTCAGTTCTTTTTCTTGTCACTAGCACGCGTCGTATACGTAATATGATTCACGATTTGCTTCTGCACGCTTCGAGCGCTCGTCTCAGTTTGAATTCATTCTGACGATGTCGTGATATTTTATATGTGATATTAGAAGACAACAACAACAGCAAAATCAGCTTGTTTTTTTCGCCTTTTAGTGTTTTTGCTTTTTGTTATTTTGTTTTTGCCGGTTAACTGTCTGGGCCGCTCTTTGCGCCGCTGACTGATCAGATCACAGCTGAAATCTGTGCTCTCATCTCCGTCTCCGTCTCTCTCGCAATCTCGCACTCTCTCTTTCCCTGGCTTGTATAATCGTGATGACGTTGTCGTCCTCTGCGAAGCGGTAGCTGCTTGTTATGACAACAAACAAGTTGTCAGAATCTTGTTTTTTTTTATTGTTTTAAATCGTTGTCATATCAGAGCAGAGCTTTTATCTCTTAGCCCTAGGTTCAAGTATTTTCCTGTTTGAACCAAATCCCAACGGGGGTTTGCCTGAAGAAATGCGTAAGTTTCCAGGAAAATATACAATTAAAGAAGACAGAGATAGAGAGAGTAAAGAAGAGCTAGAGAGAGAGAGAGAGAGAGAGAGAGAGAGAGAGAGAGAGAGAGCTAGAGGCTAGACAACGGAACAGGTCTTACAGCTGTTGCCAGCCTAACCACAGCGTTTCGTGACAAATTTAGCTTTAATTATGCGAAATTTGGAATTCTTTAAAAAAGATTTTATGTACAGAAATATGACAGTTGGGTTTGTTTTTGTTTTGAATACATCTCTGTCTCTCTTTTTCCCTGTGCTGTTGCGCATTTTTTTCTTGATAAAAAAGCCATGGGGACTCCGTTTAATATTATTACTTTTTGTTCAGCTTTTTATTATTATTAATTTACGTCTCAGGCTGAGTCGAAGCTAATTTCGTTTGCAACTTTCATACGAATTTAAGTGGAATTCAAAGATGAATCAATATTTGGTTTTATAAACAAATAAATACGTATGTAAATTAAGTTCTAGTTTTTTCTTATTTTTTTGTTTGTTTTGTGTTTTCTGTGATTTTTCAGTTTTCCAGTTTGTTGCTTAGCTGCGCAGATTGATAAAAAAATAAATAAATAAATAAATATATAACAACAAAAATAAACAATAAAGACTGAATGCAATAATTAAACTGAAATGGAAGTTAATTAATTTGGCGCCGACTTGGAATGTTGTTAATGAAAGGCGTCGACGTCTATCGCATTAATTAAATGTACTAAATAAACAAATAATATACATATATAAAATAAATAGACAAATGCGATACAAAAATGTAACTGGCATTTTTCGTACGTACGAAAATCCCCTTTAATTAATTCACCCCTAAGCTGAGCAGGGGAGAGAGAGTTCAATTCCAACTAGTACTGTATAAGTGGGTAATTATTATTATTAAAATTATTATTCTATACAAAATATCTATCCAGTTGCAACTGTATTTAATATGTATTTATCTAGTGTTCTTTTTTTTAAAGAGAGAAATTTTGTTTAGGTAATATTATTATTATATGTGAGAATATAAAACAGCCAGACAAGGTTCCAGGGCATCTGATCGTCAAGCACTTCAGACCTAAGCACACTGTATTGTTTTATTTTATTAAATTTGCATAAAATTGTTTGACGATGCGAGCATTAATAAATATTCAAAGTAAATACTAAGAAACAAATTAGAAAATATGCAAAATACTCTTGGTCTAGCTCTGGTTCTAGCCTAGAATCCAGTATTTAACATTTCACTTCCCGT